GGAATAAAAGGCCACCTTAGTAATTATTGATGAGGCACAATATCCACCGGTGGGACAGGAAAGTTCCTTTTTCCTACGAGCTATTTAAGTTCACTGAAGAATACCAGGAGTGACTTGAGTGTTTGTTCAGAGAACAGGACAAGGGCTCTAAGACCACAGACCCAAATCATTCCTTGATGACAATGGGGAAAGTGCAGCTGAGGCTCCAGAACTATGTTAGTGGGAATCAGCATCTTGGTGTACCAAACAGAGAGAACAGGGCTCAACTTGCTTTGTTATATCCTGGCAATGAACACAGAGCAAGTGATACCTTAGAACAGAGTTAGTGGTACAACAAGCCATGGTGGGAAAAGGAGGAGGAATTTGTATGATGTGGTCACATGTTATGAAGTCTATGGGGTAAACACATCCATGTGCCTAGAGTTCCATGCTGAGAACTCTTCTTAAGCCCCCTGTCCACCTGGGCATGCACACACTGTTTCCTGACCAGAAACAGCCCCAGGAGCTGTTATTTGCTCCATTGGGAAATTCTATGGACTGATGGCTACAGGTAAGTTTCCCCAATGGGGCAAAGAGTGTCTCCCTGGGAATATTCTATGTTGGAAAAAATAGCATGGGGGGGGGAGATTAAGCCCCCTCTCCATGTGTTACGTGGTCCCAGTTCAAATCAGGCTCCTGCACATCTGAGAAGTGAATTCCAAGCATGGAACTCCTGGAATAAACCTGATCCAAAGTCCTCTTGGCAGCCACATGTCTACCACATGAACTTTGTAACATGTGAGTGGGTCTCTGAGACAAGAGGTGGTGTAGGTATGGGAATTAGTAATCTCATAGGCCAGCTCCTTTAACTATGGTTAAGAGACTGCTAGAATTTTAGTTGCCTCAGACCTGTGACCTGCTTTTATATGGGTGAGAAAAACTGATCCAGCTGTCATCTTTGTGATGCTTAATCTGCTGTCAGGGAGATCAGGTGATCTTTGATCTGGTCCTAGAAATATATGACAGCTTGTGCTTTTCAAAGACATCTGCACCAACATTCTTATAGGCTGACCAGGTGGCTCTTCTGTACATTTCAACAAGGCCATGCATGCAACTGAAAGTCTTCCAAGGTTGTTTCACTAACTCCTTGTCAATGACCAAGCACAAGCTGCTCATGTTACATATGCTGGAGCCTAAGTTACAGGCTGCCTGTCTCTCACTGGCAAGGGTATTTCCATGTATAGATTTGCCACAAGGAGGATTCTGTGAGGGTATTCCAGAATTATCTATCCTGCTTTCTAAAGAAATGTTCTTGGTCTCCTTAGTGAATTAAGGAACTTTAGGAAGACATGGAGAGGGCTTACTCTAGTAATGAGTACGTATGGATCTTCACAGAATCCCATCTCCTTATTTAATGAAAACATGTTTTAAAATGTTAAGGATTAACTAAATTAATTTTTCATACAGCTACAGTACTTTTTGCTGAGAAAAGTTTAGAGAAGGTAGTCCTGCATTGGTCCAACCCAAACACAATGCTTTCCTAGCACAACATATAGTACTGAGAATGGTTTTCAGACTGTGGATAATGCACATATGCAAATTCATATTTGCACATATGTGCATATCAAAACACCTCAGAGGCTATTATATTCTCACAACTCCTGTTAGCTTTCTGCTCATAAAGCTCCAACAAAGCAGCACCATGAACTGAGCTGCTCTTTGGGAGGACATGTTTTGCATGCACAAGTTCCTCGGTTCCTGGCATCTCCAGTTAAACAAGCTCAGGTAACAGGGATGGGAAAAGTCTTAACCCAAGACCTTGGACAGCTGCTACTAGTCAGTGTGAATAATACCTGGCTAGATAAAGCAGTGCTCTAACCTAGTATGAGGAAGCTTCAGGTATCCAATACATTAAATGAGAAATGTGATCTGATGCATTTTAACTAATTTTATGAGCACAAGCCACTCTGGAAGCCCCTCAGGATTGAAAAGCAGACTATAAATAAATAAAAGAGGTGATACTGATGCATGTGCTTGCAAAAGCTTGTGTGGGGATGGTTGCTCAGCGATGAAGCTGTGCTGCATTGTGTGTATGTTTGCCATCAAGTATGAGGGCTGGGCTTAGTGAACAGGCAGCCTGTGATCCTTTCTCCCTATATATCCAGAAGAAGCAGATTCCTTCCTGCAGCTTTCTGTTACCATTGCAGTCAGGGCCATCTTTAATGCACTGCAGCATGGCTCTTTCCCACCAGAGAAGCAAAAGGTTTCAGAAGCAATGAAACCAAGGGGCAGCAAAGAGGGCTTCCCCCTTCTAGTATTCTGCTAACCCACCCGCAGGCAAAGTATAACAGCTTCACAGCAAACTGCATCAGTAAACATCCTAGTATGAATAAATATGGAGCCAGCACTGTTGGAGTACAAGGTCATAGATTTTCTGTCAACCCACTGATATATTTTCTCATCCAGTAAACATACATAAGGAAATCTTTTATTTGTCTTGCCACCATTCTTAACTATTGTAATTTTGGTCTTGGTATGCAGGAATTCCAGGAAACAGGTTTTCTGCAGGATACCTGAGCATGGGATGCTGCATGATTCCACACAAACCAGAATTCTACCAGATTCACAAAAATATTCCAGGCATCCTGGCCCACTACTGATAAATTCACCGTACTGCCCCCCCTTTCCCCAGTCCTTCTTCCCCCCCCCCCCCCCCATGCTTGATAGTTTTGTTTCTTCAGTTTGCTCAGCCTCCCTTCTGTGGCTTGCAGGTATGACTCTTGGACTGCATGCTTCTCTTGGAGAACTCGTGCCTAATATCAACATGCCAGAGAAAAATGACTGGACATCTCAGAGCGAGGGCACAGTCAGTTGGGTTGAGATTTGCCTCTTGCAGCTGGCTTACTATTCATTTTGGGCTCTGACACTTCTTGGGTGTTTCCCTATAGCTCCAGGGTTACAAGCAGAAGGCAGAGTTCATATGGCTGTGGAAGAGAGCTTTGCTCATTAAGTACAGCAGCTTTTTGGACCCAGTCACAGCCTTGTGCAATACATTCTATGGCTTAATGCATAGCATCCTTCTGTCCCCACATGCCCCACTACTATTGATCTCTCCCCTGCAGGAAACAGACAAATCAGTGATGGTTAGCAGAGCCTCCTGAAGCCAGATTAAGAGGAAAACCCTTGCTATGAAATGTGTGGCAGGGCCTGTGCAGCAGCCTTCTTCTGCAGCCCCCACTTTCAGTGGAACATTCTGAGCCAGGCAGAGCAGGTGGGGACCTCTTGGGCTGGGACCTGAGAAATGGGAATGGAGCAAATCACATGCTTGGCACAGGGACCTTCTCGCTGTTCTTCCTTGGGGATGACTTGACCTCAGGTGATCTCCCACACAGGGAGGTCAGCAGGGGCAATCTTTTGAGCTAAATAAAGGAACCAGCATGACTTCCTGAAAGTCCTTTGCAACTCCCCTTCCCCAACCAAAAGGCTGTCCTTATCCTTTCTCTGTGCCCTTAATATATCCCGCCACCCTGAGAGAGACTAGGAGGAAAGAAATCCCTGATTTTTAAAAAAAACAAAACAAAAAAACAACCCAGACACTAGAAAAGACCCAGACAGAGTTATGTGCATCTTAGAAGGTGACTCAAAACAGCACAGACACATTCCAGAAAAGCCTCTGCTTGGCCAGAAGTGCTGCCACACAGGGTCACTGAAAGTGAACAGGGGAGCTCCTTCGGCTTTAGCCACTGTGTCCAAGAAGGTCATAAACTTCCCTTTCCCTGCCTACACATGGAGTTGTAGAACGCTTGGTCTCCCAAAGCAGTTAACCTAATATGAACACCTTCACAAGGCTGATGAGACTTCCCAGTTGCCTCAGAATTTCTGTAAAGACTCTCACAGCCTCCAGACTTGCTGAAGTTCTGCAAGGATGAAGACTTGTTTGGAATCCTGGATTGTGCCTTGACATATTATGACTGCAATTAGTAATGGGCTTGTTACACTGCCAAGCAAAGAGCTGAGAGGGGGAAGCAGCTGATTTGGGTCATGCCATGCTGTGTTCTTGTCTCTGTTGCATCCCCAGAACAAGCAGGGTGGGGAGTGTGGCATTCCAGCTTACCAGTTCCTGAGACGGTTGGTTCCTTCTTGCAGTTTGGTAACCTCAGAGATTTTTAACTTTGTTGACAACTTCAGACGTTTTTAGAGAGGCTCTGCAGTGAAGACAGAACTACTCCTCCCCTTCTCCGACACATTTTTGAATCTTAAATTTATTTCACAGTCCAAAAAAGGGGCGTAGAAGATTCCAAAAACAGGTAGGTCTACTTGCTAAAAAATTGTGTAAATTATGTCCTGAGACACCTGGTGCAACAGGAACCTTCATTTTCTGTAAAAATTGTTTCTGTAGCAATAATCTTTTTTTTTTAAATAAGCAATTTAAAAAGAAACATCTTTTCAGATTGTTGTGACACCTAAAGTAGAACTGACTGGGATTTCTGCTGTGGCTGGAATTCCGGGGGTGGGTGGGGTGAATTTGGTATTTTTCTAGGCCACCATGCAGCTGACAACGTAGGCTGTCACCTATGAAAGGTTATGCCACAAAATTATTGGTAAGTCTTTAAGCTTCCATGGAACTTGGTAATTTATGCTGCAACAGGGCTGCTCTTCTGGAATTCACACCTACACAAGGTGTTTGGGAGGGCAGTCCCATCAAGGTGGTCTGCAAATGCAAAAACAGTAAACAGAAAACCGAGTTAGGCCACTGGACCACTAACATTGTGCCTCTGCTTCTTGTAGGGGGATGTATGCAAAGTTCCAATGATGGGAGCTGAAAAATATTATCATTCCAAAACTTGTAGGGCTCAGGTAACTGTTGTGCTTCAAGAGCAAACTGGGACACTAGGCTTTCAACACAGGATGGTGGGCTTGAAAGAAGGGAAGATAAAAACGCAATGCTTTTACAGATTGCAAACCAGTAGCATATCCAGCTATTTTATCTGTTCCTACTCTTCTCTTCCATATCAGTATGATCACAGCAATCCCACTAATTCAGCTCCTGCCTTATCTTTGCTGCACCCTCTCCCTCCTTCACTCTGTGAAACTCCCACAATGGGAGTGTCCGAGAAGACCGAGCTGACAGAGTCTGGATCCGACATTTTCCTCTCTGCCTTCTGGGCCCCTTTATTTGCCTCTTTGGGGGAGCGGTTGGGCTTGCATTTGCCATTCTGGCCTTGTGCATTACTTGGTGTCATGTGGCGCTTTGATACTTCCTTGCCTCCAGCCACCTCAGCATTGTGGTTAGGAGTGGTGCTGAGCATCGAGGAATTGATGCTGTCCTCCTGTTGGTTGGCCTGCTTCTCACTGCTGCGGCAACAGCAACGGCATGGGGTCAGGTAAAGGTAGATGAGCACAAGGATGACACTCAAGATGCAGCCAACAAGTGTGGTGTAGGCAGTGTTGAGTGTGTCAGAGGCCCCATGCTGGGTGAAGTTATGGACTGTCACATGCACATAGAGGGTCTCGTTGAACACCTGGCTTACCGCATAGCAGATATATGGGCCCATGTCCTCCATGCTAATGTTGCTTATCTGCAGACTTCCATTGGTCAGCACAAGCATAGAGCTATTGTTATTCTCCTGAGGGACACGCTCGAATCTGGGTGTCACCCATTCTCTGATGGTTACCCCTCGCTGCCTGGTGTCACAACTGATGGTCACATTATCTCCTCGGTAGGCTATGAATGACTGCTCCATGACTTTGGTGCAGTTCATAAACTCTGGGTTGCTGAGGCTTAAGATTCTGATCCCTTTCCTGTTCTGATCTATGTCACATCTGAGCTCCTCTTCAAAGTCCACAGCTGAGCTCAGCTGCCGTTTCTGCCAGTGACTGAAGAGGTTGTAGAGCGGACAGCTGCAGGTGAGGGGGTTGCCATGCATGTAAAGCCCATTCTTCACCCAGGCTGGGAGGTCCTTCAGGGCATCCACAGGAAAGGTCTTGATTTTGTTGCTAGACAGGTCCAGCAATTCAAGTTCTGGAAGCAAAGCTCCATCTTTTTTCACCAGCTCCAGGGGGAAGCGAGTGATCATATTATGGCTCAGGTACAATTTCTGGAGGCTAGCCATCTCCTCAAAAGCAGTGAGGTCAAGCCTGGAGAGTCTGTTCTTGTAGAGAAGGAGCACTTCCAGCTCCTTCAGCTTACTGAAGAGGTTCTCTCCTAGAAAAGCAATTAAATTAGAAGAGAGGTCCAAGTACTTCAGATGAGGGAGATTGATGAAGGCCTCAGTGGAGACAAAGATCAGGTGGTTGTGGTTGAGGAGCAGAGAGTGGAGATGAAGGAGCCGGGAAGGGGCCCACTCTGCTCGCACATGGGTCAGGTTGTTATGGCTCAAGTCCAAGACAGCTGCATATGGGGGCAAATGCAAAGGCAAGCCTTTCAAGTCCGCATTAGAGCAGCTGATGATGTTGCTGGCACACACACAGTCCTTGGGGCAGCTCAGTGCCATCCCACCTCGGTGGGCAGTGCCAAAGCTCAGCAGCAGGAGCAGCAGCAGACAGGCAGAGCCCCCCAAGCTCGGTGCCAGCCTTCGACGGGACACTGAGGCATCTTGAAACCACATGGTAAGACTCAGCGAAGGAAGGTCAAGGTCTTGTCACAGAGAGGCGTGGAGGCTGCGACCATCGGGGGCCGGGGACGCTTGGCGGGTGTCCCGCGGCGTTCATCACCAGAGCCGCACCTGCCGGCTCCACCTGCTGCGCCAGGCCAGGCGAAGGAAGGCGAAGGCCGAGCCCGTGCCGTCGGCTCCCTCCAGCCCCGCCGCGTTCCGCCTCGACCAGCGCAGCCCGGCTCCTGCTTGCCCGCCCGCTCCGCCTCTGCTCAGCATGTCCGTCGAGCCCTGCAGGCGGCCACGCGGTGTTGCACTGCGCCAACCACAGCCTCCCCGCTCGGCAGCGCCTCTCGCGCGCCCGCCGCCGCCGCCTCCCTCAGTCCCTCGCTCAGCCCATCCCGGCCGGTCGGCTCACCCAGCTCTCGCTTCTCATGCGGCGGCGGCGGCGGCTGCCGAGCAAGGGCGATCCGAACGGGGGAGCCGCACAGCCCCGTAAGTCCTCGCCGCCGGGTTGGCGAGGGGCTTTCCCGGCGCTCTGCGTGCTGCCGAGAGAGGCTGAAAACGCGGAGCTTCCGGGGCTGCGGAGCAAAAGATGCAGGAGGCGCGCAGGAGGGGCTCCGCCGGCGGCTCGGCTGGATGCAGGCAGGAAGGGCGCGCTGTCTGGTTGCGCGCGCGCGTCCAACGAAGGAGGGCGAGGCTCCGGCACACCAGCGCGCCCGGCACACTCCCGCTCACACGCCCACCCCCAGAAGAGGCCGTCCTTCCCCCCCGTGCTTCGAGAGATTGCTCAGGACGCCGCGGGTTTCGACCCTCGGACCAGCCTCCCTGGCCGCGGGCACCCCCGTCCTTTCCTCTTACTGTTTTGAGGGAATAAAGTTCGTGAGGCGGGCGATGCCACGAGAGAGGGGCCCGTAATTAGCCGCGGCCGGGGACCGCGCGAGCTCATAGGGCTGGATGCCAGTCGTCTGACCAATGAAGTGCGGCGGGGTTTTAACCTGTGACGTGCCGAATTGCATGAGCCCTGAGACTGCCACCTCCTCTAATAATAAAGCCCTTATGCGCCAAGATGGGGAAGATGGCGAGAGGAAGCTTTTAGGAATCAGGCTGCCGCTGCTTCTCTTAACGGTGGCAGGAAAACGGATGAAGTTAAAAGCGCGAGGGGATGATACCCTTCCCGAGTTGTGTATGATCGCTTCCCCGCTGCGTGTGGCTTGTGTGTGACGGTCTTCAGAGGCGCAGGGGCTTGAGCTGGTCGCGAGGACGAATCTATTAAAGGCGGTCAGGTGCTTAACCAGGAATTACAAAGGTGGAGGTTTCAAAAAATACAGGAACAACTCGATTGCATCGCTTCCCGGATAGGAACTGCGCCGTCCTCTGCTTCCATCTTCAAGCCCTATTTTAAGTACGATTGTTGTGACATCCGTGCCTTTATTACAGGTGCAGCAGGCAGACCCATCCCCAATTGTCACGACACTAGTAGTTAGCCGCACAGGGTGAGAGGAAGGCTGTTTTCACAAGTGATGCTTAAATTGGATTTGCATTTCCCACATTTACAATTCAAATATAAAACTTCATTGTCTAGAATATCTCTTTTCCTCCCCAGCCACAGTGAAGTCTAAGCATTTGTACTGTATATGCAGCTGCTCACACATTCACCCCTTGCTGTCCTTGCTTCTCCGCTCT